AATTGAAGAGTTCATCCGGTCCCATGAACTGAAGAAGCCCGGGGAGGATTTGAATTTGCAACACACAAAAACAACCATACAAACAACTGATACTTCAAATTTGATTGAGTAGGATTTCTCTTTTTTCTGCTTTTAACCCTGATCATTGTATTATATTTGAGTTCCATGTGATCAACGGTAAAACCTGTGTTGGTAAAACATAGAAAACCTGTTTTCTTTTTTTCCCTTTTTGTATGGATAATTCTTCTTTTTTACTTGTCAGGGTCCCCAATAACTATAGGAATTTTATGTTTTATAAACAAAGGGAATCTTCTGAAAAATGTTATATTTATGTTCTCGTATTTTCATTCTTTTCTTGCCGTGGGTATCGCTCTGCAAACCGAGATAGCTGTACCCACTGGGTTCCGCTGTTTCAAGGCGGATGCTATCACCGTTAGTTCCACGGAGCCCTGGAGACACGGCTGGTTTGAATGTTGTTCAGAGAGGCATTCCGTTTCCTAACAAAAATGAGTTAGTTATCTTTTCTTAATTGCCTTAGCCAAGATTTGCTTTTTTTTTTTTTCCTTCACCAATCGTTTAGCTTATTTTATTCGAGAGGTTAGCTAAAGTATTTTCGAAAAAAAGAAAATAGGCAACAAATATGTTATTAAGTCTTTCAAAAATGGTGATATAGTTCACACACATTAACCCCTAAACATGAGCGATTCTCTATGAAATTAACAAATACAATAAACCGTGAAGCCATTGATAACTAAATATGGCTGTTCAATGTAAGAAAAACAAAGAACAGGAGTGAAATTTTACTATACATAAGCTGCACCAGAACGAAACCCAAACACTCAGCTTTTCAGTTGTTGAAATGTCTGGGCATATACATGGAGGACCTGACGAATAATAAAAAGGGAAAATCAAGTCATTCAAAATCTAAACACAACAAACCAAAAATAGTCATATTTGAAAATAAAGAAGAAAAAGATTGCAAGTATTTATTTTTGCTGGAAAGTACCTGGTGCTTTGCAAATAGGCACATCTTCCTTGTAAACTAGTTTGATTGCTTACTCAAAGCTTTGATTTAAGCTCAGCTATCTTTCTTTCTGCATATTCTTGAGCAATTCTAATTGCATTATCATTGTGGCGCAAAGAAAACTCTGCTAGCAAGATTCGGCTTTCCTCACGAGTTAGATCCCCATGGCATCCCTTTTAATAGAACAGAGAAAACCAACCGTGTGAGTTGAATCTTTGAGATCATGAATTGAAGATGGCTAGATGCTTGTACAGGAAAGAGATTTTAAGCAACTAAGATCAACTACGCAGTGCCCTTCATTGACCACAGAAGGCACACCACCAAAGTTCAGAATTTTCCTAAGTACAATAGGTTGATGTCAACAACCAAATTTGGAACAGGTTCAAAAGATTTAACACCATAGGAAAAGTGTGGGAACTCAATTGTTATGACAATAGAGAAAACAGAGCAATGCGTGTATCATCACACAAAATAAGAAGTAATCCTAGCGCATATATCCTATAGTTTCTCCTTTACATTGGATGTACTGCAATCTTATGATCCATGTTCCCCTCCATCAGAGGAGAAGAAAATTAGAAAGGGACAGAAATAGTATGAAATAAGAACTAAGTGAATGTGCAGCAGTACAACAGAGAACGCACCAAGCGAGAAGTTCTGTCACAGACGGCATGGTGCATAAGAAGGCCAGCAGCAACAGAAACATTGAACGAGTCTACCATGCCTTTCATTGGAATACTGCAGTGCAAGTCTGATGATTCAAGAGCCTCGTCACTTATTCCCCTACAAACAACAATATCTTATCTGGTTGTGGTCCATCTCAGAAAAATAAATCATAGTCCATCCATGCAAAAAAAACTTGCAAAGAAGCAAAATTCCTATTATCTCTGCTTTAACAAGGAAATAGAATAAGATCTTCGGCACAGAGAAAATCATAAAAATAAAGAACCAAGAAAACAAGAAAGAAACTGATTTAAAAATCTAAACATAAGACTGGCCGAATATTCTAATGATTACAGCGTACATGTGACAAAATATAGTGTTCCCTGCCAGTAGGTAGGAATCGGGTCAAAGCTGAATAACTATTCTTGAACCAGGTCAGTAGAGAATATATTACCTACCTAAGTTCATTTCCCACAACAATTGCAGTTGGGCATGACCAGTCCATATCATACACAGAAACCTACAACAGAAAGACAACATTAAATAAACATCTAGAGAAAGCAATTAAAAAAGAAACACAAAAATGAGCATACCAATTTTCACACCGGCAATGCAGTATCAGAAAAAAAAGAGCATCACTATACCGTGTCCATTCCAAGATGTGTTGTCGCAATGCGATAACCACGTGATTTCAAAACTGTGAAGCACTCATGAACAGAATCCCATAGTTCGATATCCAACCATTTCTCAGCTCCCATGCTGACATGTCGATTCTCCCTGTACCTGTAGGCAGATAGTAACTATGAAGGCACTTGCACAAACAATGCTCAACAAAGCTAATTAGCCTAGAAATACTATTCTCTTCCTGCAAAACTAAAAAATCAACCAAAAATGTTGGAGCTCTGACAGGTTCTCTTTTGTAGTTAAGCCAGTAAACCAAAACTGGAAATCTTTGCACTAAACCTTTAATCAACATGACGATTAAGTAAACCACAAAATGCTTTTTTTCTCCCGTTGATTATATCCGTGAGCCGGATCAAACATTCTCCTTTTTCAACTTGCCAAATGAAGGGAAATTATTGGATTAAGTCAAGCGTGTTGCCTCAAACATATTATTGTACATCATGTATTTGTTAAAAGTAGATTTGTAACACAAACAGATACTACTAAATCTGACAATTATCAATCAATATCAAGCAATGAGCATGGTGAGAAACAAAAAGATATTTTCACCTAAAAGTGCTGAGCACCTTTTTGAGCTATCACAAGCTACAACATGGACTGATTGAATGCCCAGTGCATCAGCTGAGCGAAATGTAGCTGACACATTGCCAAAATCACTCAAACCTTCAACTACCAAACATACTGAATATGTCCGATTCTTTACCGCATGGCGAAACCTCTCTTTCCTCGAATCCATTATATACGGGGTCACTGCTTCCAATATCTCCGAACTACTCAAATACATACTTCCCGCCTTAACTTTATCCAAATATGGAAACCAACGCTCCTGATGACCCAGGCCTTCGGTATCAAGCCTGCGTTCCATTTTCATCAGCTTTGAGACATCATCTTTGTTGTACAGTAACTCCTCTACTGTGTCTTTGGATTTTTCCTCCGAACTTTCAACGGCAACACGGGGAACTGCCATTTCCTCTGACGTTTCCAGTGAAATTGCTCCTTGAGTGCTGCCATATCGTCTTGAAGGATCTCTACACGGTTCGATTCTGAATGCTACTCACAAATTTCAAAACGAGACACGATAGAGATAGAGAACAAGGTTAATACAGAAGCGTATAAACTTTGAATTACCTGCTTGTATCATTAAGCAAACATTACAAAATAGGTACCTGGATTACGAGAGAGTAGAGGCAGCGGCCGGAAAAAAGAAAAATTCGATGAAATGTGAGAAGAGAAACTTCTCTGGTAGCTGTTTCGCGTTTGAAACTGAAAAAAGGAAATTGAAGAGCGAACTAGGGTTTTGCAGGCGCTCATTGCATGTGATTCTTCTATCACTTACCTCACTGCTACTCGGAGGCGGAAATGGAAATTCAGCCGAGGATTGAAATGGACTGGACAAGGAAAAACGGAACGACGCCGTCAAGACCGCGTTCAATTTGGGTCAATCCCATCTTAAGCCCAACTACATTTCGGACATCCTTCTTCTTTATTTAGATGCGATAAAACATGAGAAACTTGTTAGTATATTACTAAACCCTTTCGTCCACTAGACTAAGGGAAAACTTTCGCATACAGCCGAATTATTTTCTATAGCAACTATAGTATGATAATTACAATTTGTAGCTACATGTTTTCGGCAGGGGCTGAGAGAAGGCAAAAAGTGGGAGAGAGATAATTGTATATGTATATGGTTAAATTATATACATATGTATTTGTATATATGGCAAGCGAGATTGAGAGAATGAGGAGAGAGGGAGGAGAGAGGAGAGCGAGAGGGTGTGAGAGAGGTGAATTGTATGTATATATCGATTAGATAATTGTATATTATACATATGTTTGTATATTTTCCCGAATTATACATATACAAATATGACGAATTATACAAACTCAAAATCAGCTCATATAATTATTGTATAATGTTAATAGTCTATGATGTTTACTTAACCGCGTAATTTTTCCCAATAAGAAAATAGATAACTATTTGTTTGTTCAGTTTGAAAATCAACTAATAACTTATTATTTTACACCAATTTAACCTTTGTATTTATTCTCAATTCATTTCCTAACACGAGTAATAATTCGGAGTGATATGAATATGATAAAACTTACTCCATTTTATTGATTATTTTTAAAGGAGTGCCAAGTCCAATATAATAAAGTAAACATGACAAATAGAAATGTGTTTGTATTCATTCGATTATTTTGTTACCTTTAAATTATGAGTATTGCCGCGTTTATAGTGGACACTCTATTCCATATTGATCATAACTCCTGTTTTCCTAATTTAATTGCATGTTATACGTAAATATTTGAGTTAGCATTTACATAAATTTGTAAAAAAGATATGTAATCAACATATCATTTTTAGTAAGCGTATGAAAAAATATGTGCATTCATCATCCAACGTTACCATATGTAGCAGCAGTTTTCAAATAAATACCACTGGTAGTTGACAACTTAAATGAAACCAAACAACTACTACTGATAATTGACGTAACTTAAATGAAACCTAACAACTACTACTGATAGTTGACAACTTAAATGAAACCTAACTCGCACAAATCTTGGACCAGATGACCAGTAGTTGTTAATTGTGTTAGGTAGAATGTAGAACAAATAAGTAAAGAGACCAGTTTTCTCCAAACAAACAGATAGATTTTCAGGAATTTAGAAACTATATCAACGCCGTTCTTAAACGAGACTAAACAAAGTTCAGTAGATAGATTTTGAAAGATGGAACCTCATATCGCTCTACTTCCAAGTGCTGGAATGGGGCATTTGATGCCATTCCTTCGCCTTGCTGCCATGTTAGCTTCTCGTAATTGTAAGGTCACTTTACTCACTGCCCAGCCTACTGTCTCTGCCGCTGAATCTAAACATTTGAATAGCTTCTTTTCTGCGCATCCACACATTCAACGCCTTGATTTTCAAGTCGTTCCCCTCCAATCGTCCAATCCTCATGGTGATCCCTTCTTTCTCCAGTTTGAAGCTATCATTCGCTCTGTTCATCTTCTTCCTCCTCTTCTATCTTCATTATCTCCACCCATCTCCGCTCTTTTTCTTGACATTGCTGCTGCAACGTGCGTTGATCAGCTTGCTGATCATCCATCATTGTCTATATCATACTACATCTTAAGTACAACTTCTGCTAGATTTTTTTCTCTTATTACCCACCTACCTCATTTGACTCTTGAAAGCAGTTGCGTGAACTTGAAGCTTCATGGTCTACCCTCATTTTCAATATCGAACATCCCTCCTCCTATTTTCAACCCACAGAATCTCTTCACAACTCAAATGATCTCAAACGCTCGAGCTATCTCCAGAGTTAAAGGTGTTGTTTCCAATACGTTCCATTGGTTTGAGGCTGAGACAATTGAACCCCTCAACAGTGGCAAGACCTCTATTACTCTTCCTCAGTTTCTGCCAATTGGACCTTTCAAGCATTACGAAGACCCTGGAAAATGCTCTTCCCTTTCTTGGTTAGATGAACAACCTGCCAAATCAGTTGTATATGTTAGCTTTGGAAGTAGAACAGCTATGTCAAAGGACCAAATAAAAGAAATAGGAGAGGGATTGTTAAAGAGCAAGCAAAAGTTCCTTTGGGTATTGAAGTCCGTCAAAGTTGATAAAGCAGAGGAAACAGAGCTGAAAGAATTGGTAGGACATTCACTCCTTGAAAAAATTGAAGAGAAGAAACAGGGGATAGTTGTTAAAGAGTGGGTGAAACAGGAAGAAATTTTAACACATCATGCAATAGGAGGATTCTTTAGCCACTGTGGTTGGAATTCAACGATGGAAGCAGCTCAGAGAGGAGTACCAATGCTTGCATGGACACTTAACGGGGACCAAAGGTTTAACGCAGAGGTGGTGGAGAAGGCAGGGTTGGGGTTGTGGCCAAAACATTGGGGTTGGCTGGGCGAGAGATTGGTGAAGTCGGAAGAGATTGAGGAGAAGATTGAAGAGCTAATGCAAGATCACAAGTTGAGGTCCATGGTTCCGAAAGTGGGGGGAAGAGGCCAAAACGGGCTTGGGAAATTTGGGGGTACATCAGAAAAAGTTGTGGGACAATTAATTGAAATGCTCAAGCTCAAAAGTTTTGGAATGTTTAATCTCACCTAATGGGTTTTTCCTCTTCTTACAAGAAGTAACTTAACAGTTAATAAGATTGGCTGCCAAGTCCAATCAAGATAATCAAAACTTATATTACTCAATACATCAGTTTTGTGATATGATACAGATACTAAAATTAATTCCTCGACTGTTCCTCAACCAAACAAGCATATGCAAGTGTCTAAATACCTAATTGTACAAAACTATTCCTTTTATCTTTTCTTCTGAATTTGACACAGCAGATGTCAGCAACGTAATTGGAACCATGCCTTTAATCTTTACAAAGCATCAGCTCATCGATTTGCACCAGTCATCACTCATCAGGATGTCTGATTCAATTATCAACTCTGCAAAGCCAGTTCACATATTATTTCTCCCAAGTGGTGTAGGAGTGGGAGAAATGTTCCATTTATTCAACTAGATTCCATGTTAGCTTCATAGAGATCTAGAATCAACTTTATTGGCATGCTACTTGAGATCTATACTACAAAGTAGAGCTTTATCTCCAACTTTTGCTCCGGTCAGCCAGAAATCAAGATACACAGGACTCGACAAACCTAACAAATTTCAAACAAAATAAAGCTGATCCAGTCAGCTAAGAACATTAAAGAAGAAGAAGAATAACGGCTGGCCAAGGATTCTAGAGTTAGCCTGGAAAGCTAAATAACATCAAAAGATTTTCAATATGACTGGAACTGCAGGGAACTACCATTTCGGTAGACAGTTTTCTTTGGAATAACATCAAAAGATATTGCATTCTCTTGAAGCCTGTCTTGGAGGTCTGTCGGGCCAAACACAATCCCACGAGGGAAAACACCTCCTTTTGGAAGATTGTCTCGTTCCTTGAGCAAAAATAAGGGCACTCTGGACTAGAATGATTGGAGTTGTCAAATAAGCAATTTCAGGTCCTATTACTCTTGTAATTATCTCCATATCAAGTTTCCTGTTTCCTTGTGACACAAGGCTGCCATCACTAAACCCCTGTCCAACAAACCACTTCTTAAAGGTAGCACTTGCCACTTCATCCTCAGTAGGACCCTTTTTCCTGAAAAATCCAAGATTGAACACTGAAGGGAAGTTCAAGAGCAGCCACCTCCCTATACGAGTTTTACCAAAAAGAGCAATGAACTTGCCAAATGTAATGAAACGAACAACACCTAACAGAGAATTCGAAGTTATATTCATACCAAAGCGAGCTGGCTTTATTGTAGACCAAAATGCCTCCCTCCTCTCAATCCGTTCGGTGCTTTCACTAACACCAGGTAAACCACGAGAATCTTCAGCCAAACATGATTGTGTTCTCCGTACCACAGTTGCATCTGCTGATGGCAACTTTACAGCTCAAAGCCCAACTTTCTTTAGGTGATTTACCAAACCCAACAGTAACTTGTACCTTACATAATACCCTATTCCTCAATGGACATGTATGTTCACTATTAAAGTATGTCAACGACATACATGTTCACTATTAAAGTATCTCAATGGACATACATGTCCATTGAGGAATAGGGTATTAAGTAAGGTACAAGCTATTGTTGGGTTTGTTAGTGGTGTGACAACTCCAAAATTGGGGAATCATAAAAGGAAACATACTCCGAACGATATAATTGAGGATATTAGGAGAATGACTTTGCACTAACCTACTGGTTTTTGAAACCGGATAAGTAAAATCCTTGACATTACCTTTACATTTCAAACCAGTAATAATAGCAAGCTCACGATTATTAAATTTCAACACATTCCCTTTAGCATGACGAATGTGAATTTCGTTATCTAAATTTCCCTGCTCAATCTTTAACAAATATTAACACTTTGTAATCTGACCTTGATAGTTGCGCCTGGGGATATTTAGGTATAGGGCAAATATGGTCTCTTTGAATAATTTAATACTTGATCCTTCATTGATGATACTAAATGTTCAGTATAATTGGTGTTGTAGGTTGGATCAAACTTTAGAGCGTTCCTAGGAATATGTTTAATTACATAAATCATATTCTGCGATTAAATAAATAATTTTTATCAATCTCTAACAGATATAAACAATTTATATACTATTACCGACATATAATAATGTTTTGCTTTAGTTGATACTAAATAACAAGAAGAATGGTACACAACATCACATTAATGAGTTCTGTTCACTTTTAGATACATTAATGTTCATGAATAGTGATACTAAATAAAACCTACATGTCAATATGATACTTGAACAATAATATTAAAAACATTAATGTTCATGCACTTTGATACTAAATAACAACAAAATATTAAACTTAATCATCTATTTTAGATACATTAATTTTCATGTGCAACACATAACAGGTACAGAAATACACAAATTTGATTAGTCGTTATATAAACAGATCAAACTGATACTTAAAAAGGTATATAAGATACATTAAATTCATGTGCAACACAAAAATTATTTAAATGAAAAGTTGAAATAAACATTTTTTATCACAAAATATTTAAGTATCGTTCTTCAATATTAAGTATCCGGATTAATATAAAAAAGGAAAATTTTGGTAATAGTGAAAAATATCTACGATACGTTAATATTTATGTGCTAGTCATAAAAGTATCACAAAAATCAGTGTTCCATGAGTGCAATGAAAAATTAAAATAAACGATACTTAAATGAGAAAAAGAAATAACCAAACTAAAGAAAAAAATACGAAAATTCGGATGGATAGGGGTATAAATGTACATACCGTTGGCAGTGTTGATCGAATAATCGTGTGCCTCCTTTCCACTTCTTTTCTTTGGGGTTTTTGGGTCTTTCGAAATTGATGCATGTTTGTTCTTTGCAGAAGTTCTCTTGCTAGAACTTGAATTTTTCATGACTATAGGGTCATGTGACGATTTAGAATCCAATTCTTCGAAGCTTTATATTCTGGAAAAAAACTACAGATTTATTAGATAGGAAGGGAAAAAAAAGAAAGAAATCATAATGCAGAAGATGATAAACCTGTTTCGGACTCTAATCTGAATGAATAGGGATAAAACTTTTTAGAAATTCAAATTTATTTTTAATTGTTAACCTAAAATTTTAGGGGGGGGGGGGGGAATTTGGGCTAAAATTTGAGGAATGAGAAAGGTCTAGTTTTGAGTTCCAACGTAAAAAGTCAGTTAAGTATCATTGGGTATAAAAAAGGAATTTTTGAATTTTAATAAAAGAGTATGGGAAATATTGGAATAGGTAAAGTAAAGTTGTTTAGTTTAGTAACTTTTCAATGTAATTATCACAGGTCCTTTTCTTTAAAACAAAAAGAAGTAATTTTCACATCCAAATACCCAACATAAAAATTTCAAACCTAAAAATCTAATCGACGTAAAACCGAACCAAATTAAAGATAAAAAAATAAAAATAAATCAAAACAGCAGTGAACTTTGTTATTCGATTTTTGTTTTTTTCGAATCGAAAAATCAAATCAAATTTATCTTCAGTTTCAATGTCTCCAATTCCACTTTTATATTGCATGAAGCTTTTACGATTTACTTCAGGTTATGTGATAGCCTCTTCATCTATGGGTATGGAAGTTTGGAGGAGCACATCTAAACTACATCTCTTTAACTTCCATATTATATTTTGTCACATTTCTTGCATGTGATGTTAAAGCTCCCGTTAATTTCTTATCTATTCCAATCTGAATCGGCCAATGTCACCCCTCTTAGAATCCAAAACACAAACTTAAAATTCAAAATCTGTCTATTGGAGAGGGTTGAAATTTTGGAGGATTGAGGCATTGAGGCTTGCCTTCGCTACTTTAGCAAGAAATCAAGATACACAGGACTTGACAGACCTAATTATATAATGTCAAACAACCATTTCATACGACTAACAGCAGGGAACTATGATTTCGTTAGACAATTTTCTTTGAAATAACATCAAAAGATATTCCATTCTCTTGAAGCCTATCTTGGAGGTCAGTCGGGCCAAACACAATCCCAGGAGGGAAAACACCGCCTTTTGGAAGATTGCCTCGTTCCTTGAGCAACATTAGGGCACACTGGACTAGAATGATTGGAGTTGTCGAATAACCAATCTCAGGTCCCATTACTCTTGTAATTATCTCCATATCAGGTTTCCTGTTTCTTTGTGAAGCAAGGCTGCCATCACTAAAACCCTGTCCGACAAACCACATCTTAAAGGAAGCACTTGCCACTTCATCCTCAGTTGGACCTTTTTTCCTGAAAAATCCAAGACTGAACACTGAAGGGAAGTTCAAGAGCAGCCACCTCCCTATATCGCTTTTACCAAATAGAGCAATGAACTTGCCAACTGTAATGAAACGAACAACACCTAACAGAGATTTCGAAGCTATCTTCATACCAAAGTGAGCTGGCTTTATTGCAGACCAATATGCCTCTCTCCTCTCAATCTGTTCGGTGCTTTCATTAACACCAGGTAAACCATGAGAATCTTCAGCCAAACATGAAAGTGTTCTCCGTACCACAGTTGCATCTGCTGATGGCAACTTTACCGCCCAAAGCCCAACTCTCTTTAGGTGATTTACCAATGGACCTTTAGGAAAAGTACCAGGAATCTGAAACAAACAAGAAAATACTATGTTTCACAGATCGATGTGTTATTCAAGAAAACATGAATGCTGTCCGTCCGCTTGTCCCCACACCTGCATGCTACATATGTATGGCTTTGAGGAATGTAAAAGCTAGCACATATTGCAGGTAATCAAGTGTAAAGAGTCTATCTAAAAATGAATCTCTATCATTTGGTATGATAAATCCCCATCATTTACTCATTCATTCCACCAGAAATCAACCATACGGTTTATGCGTCCCTATGATACATGCATTCATGATATCCATCACAAGGTTTATTCATGAATCCCTACCATATACTCATCGATGTCAACAGTGAGTTCTCAAAGTCCAAATGTAAGATTGTAAAAGTGTAAACATTCTACAAAATGAGAAAATGGCTTTAACATAATTCACTGTGGACATTGACTAAAAGTTGCACCTTCAAAAACATAATGACTAATCGACCTCTAAGCTTTAAAGACCAATTGCTTGTTAACATACAACATTTCACCAGTAAAAGAAAAAAGTAGTGAAGCTAAAATAGTTACGCAAGCATTTAACATATGTGATTGAACTGAGCCTTCCAATATCTATCATCATTTGTTTACTAGGTTTTGGCTACTGCACTATCTTCTTGTTGTTTGTAATTTTTCTTCAGGCTTTATATTATCTCTCTTATTAGTTGTTATGTTTTGTCATTGTTTTCTACTTCTTTGAACCTGAAATTGTTGCAATTGAGCTGGGTCATCCGGAAACAAACTCTCTAAGGTAGTGGTTAGATCTGCATACACTCTAACCTCTCACTTGTGGGAGTGAGATTTCACTTCGTATGTAGTTGTCGGATATTCGAATTCTTTCCAATCTAACTAAGTTAAAAGTTTGACTATATTTTCATACAGCATTGATAGACACGACTCACGAGTATATAAATCATATACTAGTATCAAAATAAATATTTCCATTTTACCGTAGAGCCATAAAATAGAAAGTAATGAGCAATAGAGAGAAGGTGATAGGAACTTACCTCAGGACGAGGCTTCTTGGGTCTGGAGCGTCTCAATTCCTGCAATATGTCTGCGTTTGCCACACTAAGCACCGCTGACTCGTACGTCCCCAAATTTCCAACAATTCTCTTGTCTGATTCTAGACTAATGTAGGCCTCAACCGTACTAAATATTGCCGGCGGCATCCACTGTCTCGAATTGAACATCCAGCCTAATTCAGCAGGAATAGAATCAAATCCACAAGCCGAAACAACTAACGATCCATTCTCCACAGCCTTATCATGGTGCTTCACCTCCATCCTCTCCATAAACTCCGGTTCTCCACATATATCCAAGTAATCGCACCCGGAATCAACACATGCCTCAACAACCGGTTCTCCATAAAGACGAAATGGTCCGACACAGTTGAGGATGATCTTAGTCCGGGAAGCGAGGTGACGAAGTGAAGCCGAGTCGGTGGTGTCGGCGGTGAGGATCGGAATTTCGGGTGGCGGGTTTGGACCGGAGGCCCATTGCAAAGCCTGTGAAAGTTTCGAAGTATTACGGCCTGCAATGGCGAAGTTCTTCAATGGTGAAGAAGGAAGGTTAAGGAATTTGAGAGCCTCTCCAATTACGTGTTTGCCTGTAAAACCTGAAGCACCTAAAATTATCATATCGTAAGTTGGGCTTGGGTTCGGGCTGGGCTTTTGTGAGATGGCCCGATTGGAAATTGTAAAATATGTTGGATAGTCTAATATTTTTGGCAGAATGGTCCTATTTCTTTTGTATGCAGTAACAATGGTCCACATCTTTTGGCAAAATGATGCACTTATGACCCAGATTCCGTCAGTTACTTTTAACGGAGAGAAAAATTCCACGTACACCTCACGTGATTCTTTTCTTTCCCGCCAAACTTCAATATCAATGCTCCTCCTCCTGTATTGCAGATTTGCAGTGCATTTAAGGTAAATGACCAAATCACATAATTGTTACATCGTTTGACAGAAAATAATTTTTCATAATATATCCTTTTTTTATATAACTTAAGTGATGTTGATGGGTAACTATAAAATAATTATATTTAAGTATAAAATTAATATAATGACTAAAAAAACTCATATAAATATATTTATAAGTTACGATGGAATCTATATATTATTATATACAAAATAACAGATAGAATAACTAAAATTTATATAAAATAATAATATATAAATTTATTTATAATTAAGCCACATTTTACTAATACATACATAATTTTAATCTGTTACCCATCTACCTCTTACGGTTAGACCTAAAGAGGTTCTCTTTATTTTATTTTATTTTATAGGCTGCTTATCTTACTTTTCTTTTTTATAATAAAGAAAAAAGTTATTTTATTCATATAATTAAGATATCTGGAAAAAAGTATTTTCTAAATTTATTTCGCGAATGGTCGAGAGATCTTAATTCCCAAAGCAATCGACTCTCCTAATAGAAAGATCTTATTTTGTAGCTCTAATTGTTTTATTGCAACAACAGTACTGCTTCTTCTGATAGACCATTTTGGTTTAGAAATCATTTAATTTGGATTACCGTTTGTCAGTTACATTATTCTGAAATTCTTCCACGTAGAATACCATTGGAATACGTATTTATACGTTTCAAATTTACAAGACAAATAATTAACATCTTGTTATATTTTTTCTATTTTATTCTTCCGTCTAGAAATGATTTAAGAAAGTAAATTATAAAAAACAAATTTCAAAAAATTAAGATATTAAAGGACGTATAAACTGCATACTACTCGATGATTTCATAGGAAAACTACCTGACTCTGACTATTACTGTCTATTTAGATTAACTTATTTAGGTGTTTTTAAGTCAAAATAGTCTTTTAAGCAATTTTGAAGTGTTTGGATAAAGTTAAAATAATCGAAAAGTCACAAGTTAGAAATCCTCACTTGTGACTTTTCGCTTATAAGTCATAAGTCAAAAGTCAATCCAAAGTATTTGTTGAGAAAGATGTACTATTGCGATGGTATAAATTTTATATAATACATCAAATACACACAATTATATAATAGTTACTTGATATTTATATATTACATAACTATTTATAAAATATCTATTTTACATATAGTCATTTTGTTGGGAGGAAAAATGGTCACATACTATACTTAAACATAAGAAGGCAAGTTTTAAAATGTTCTTAGACAAGATTAGGGCACAAAACTCCACTTGGGAGTGTAATAAAAAGAAGAGGAAAAGACATAAACTAGTTCCAATTAAGAGATAGAGAAACATCTATGATATTCTTGATACATTATTATA